ATAAATGCAGGGCGGGTTAGGCATAATGTGATCAAGCAAAGTGGAAACATTTAATTGGCTTCCCTACGTTTGATTCTTTAATAATAAAAAAACCCTCACACACACAAACACGTGCACACATTAAATATCCGCAAAATGCTGTGTTCTTTGTAAAAACACTTTCTATGTATGAATGTATCCTGTGTTCTCAAACATTGTCTGGTTTAAATAAACATACAGAAAGGATTTGTGTCAAGTGATTTCCATAGTGTGTGTGTGTGTGTGACTGACTGACTTCAAACACTTAGTGGAGGCCTCTCTTGCTCTTCCCACAAATGTATGTTTCCTTCAGAAGTTTCTGAAGAAGCAGCAGCCTATCCCCCTTCACAAAATTATCCCACTTGCTTTCCATCTTCCCTGTAGAAGTAGTATACTGGAGAATTCTGAAGCCACACACACCCCACACACACACCTACCTACCTACCTACCTACCTCTGTTATGAGTTCCTAGCATCTGCAACCAAGAGCTAGGTCCCACATTGCTAGGTGTTGGACATACCCTTAGTGGGAGACCAGCCCTCCCCTGAACAGTTTACATTCTAAGGGTGGGATTTTCAAAAGCACGTCAGAGGCAGGAGCATAAATCCCACTGACTTCCAATGGGGCTTGTGCTTCTAATTCAGGAGCTTCTGAAAATCCCACCCAAAACAAACAAGGCAGGAAGAATACCCCCATTTTACAGATGGGGAACTGAGCCTCAGAGACCTAAGTGACTTGCCCAAGGTCCCAGAGTGTGGCACAGCTGGGAACTGAATTCAGATGTCTTAAGTCCCAGTCCAATCCTTTAACCTTCTGTGTATGAATAAATACACACCCACTATAACATTTCTCTAACTCCTGAACACCCAATGGCTGGCCGGCAGGAATCGGGGCATAGGAGGGTTTAGGGTAGCTGTATTTGATATTAATGCACATGTACTCCAGTAGGACCCTACTGTTCCTCCTGTTGAGCTGGAGAATACCAGCTACTCTGTATAGCAACCCCTCCCCCCGTTTGCTTTACATTATTTAATTCTATTATGAGGCTCTACTCATCTGAAACTCTGGCCTTTCCATGCACCTAGCCCCCTAATTGTCAGCTGTTGAGGGAAGCTGAGCTACAGACCTGCCCTGCCCTTTAGTCTCTGGTTTCAGGTGAGTTCTGCATCTCCAGTGAGATTACCCTAACCTGGAGGAATGCTGCGTTCTTCCCCCTCCACAACCCCAGTGGTTCTCTCTTAACACTTCCCATCAGCCTCAATGCATCCGACCTCCTAGTGAGGCAGCTGGCAGACTCACTGAGCATGTAATATAATGGAGCTGACCAGGGCAGCAGGTAAGGCCTTGTGTAGAAGGAAGAAATATTGAGAGTGGCAGGGAGTTCTTTATCTTCCCCTGCTCTGAACCCATGAAGGGACAAATCCCCATGTGACTGGAAGTGCTAAGGCCCAGAATTGTAACCTCAAGACCGTGTATATACATTGGAGTGATATCTTCATGGTAAGTAAGCATTTCTCCATATAATCCGCCTCTTGCCATTCACATGTGCAGTGAATTAGAGCTTTACGTATTTCATGATCATGAGGGTAAAAATCATTTGATGCCTTTTTTTAAAACCCTAAAGTGCTTTACAAACAACAGCCGAAGATAATCGTCACTGAAAAAGCAGCCATCTCTGGGATGAAACATGGCAGCTTTTTAATATTGCACAACACTTTAGGACAGGTAGTAAAGAGCACTGTATTAGATGATAAATGCAGGGCGGGTTAGGCATAATGTGATCAAGCAAAGTGGAAACATTTAATTGGCTTCCCTACGTTTGATTCTTTAATAATAAAAAAAACCCCTCACACACACAAACACGTGCACACATTAAATATCCGCAAAATGACCCACCACTCATATCTGATCTGAGCCTGCTCATCCTCCATCCAGAAAGCCTGAGAACAAAAGCCTTGCGGCAAGAATTAACAGTCAGCAGATCTGGGCGCTCTCGGGCCAAGGCAGAGTGTGAGGTCTGTAATAAAGGATCTTTTCACTGCAGATGCCCTGCCATCAGATCCTGCTTGTTTGAAGATTGAGCGCCTCAGTTAGATGCATCTGCCGTCCTGTTTCACAAGGTAGGAGAGAAATAGGTTTGTTTACACTTTAAAGGAATTGAAGAGTAAATTTGCAGTAACCATGAGTAATTGCAGACAACATTAATATACTAGAAGAATAAACATTGTCATGTGTGTAGCAAAAGAAAACACAGCGGACACCTTGATTGCTTACTATATTACTGACTGCTATGTAATGGGCTACTGAAATGGGTACCTGCAGGTCAAAAGTCTGGATTTTTCCAGGGAACCAAACCTAGTTAGGTTCCCATCTGCTATTAAATCCCAGTTTAAGCAGCAGCAGGGAGAAAAGCAGAGGAAGAGACAGACTTCTATTATAAAGCCCTATTTTAGCACTTTTAATCTCTAGTTCAGAAAATCTGTTTGCCCTGGAACTTTTATCTGGAGGCAGAGGAGAAAGAACATTTCCCCTAAGTTTGAAGAAGAGCCAAACCTGTTTGAGTTGTAGGCTAGTTAAAAAAACGTAACTGATTTGAAATGTTGACTTAAGTGTAATGTTTTCCTTCCTTTAGTTCGACACCTGCATGTTATTTAACCCCCTCAAACATGCCTTTGAACTGCATCTCTCCAACAACTCCCACTCACTGGCTATGTAAAATAAATAAATTTGTAATTAAGCCATGTTGTTAACTTCTGGTGAGAGCTTTGGGCTTAATCGTGGCTAGGTGATTTCGATGGGAATTTTGTGCCACACTTCAGTGAGAATGTGGAGGAGGGGCCTATGGAGGGGGATGGGTAATGGAGTTTTGGAATCAGTTCTGGTCTTGACTCTGGAGGTGGATGGAGTTTATTATAGTGATTGGGAAACCTCTTTGTATACATGGTTGCAGACATGGTGCTGCTAGAAAAACTTTTAAACCCCATCTTTAAGCCCCCCCATACCTCTCTCCCCTTCTCCCCCCCCCAAGAAAAATCCTTATGTTTTCAGAGTTTTAGGGTGAAATCTCATCACCACCTTTAACATGGTCTGGAACTGATTACTGTGAGATTTTTTTTTAAAAAGCGCATTTAAAAAATATTTGGTATCTTACCACATCTTTTACAAAATAGACACAAGCAGATAAATGAATACAGGTCATTTATCTTCTAGAGCAGGTCAAAAAATGAAGAAAAAAATTGGGGAAACTTTTGCCATTGCTTTCTGTAACTAACTTCTCAGTTTTTCCTGGAAATTTTTAAAAAATATTTTTATAATGTATTTTTTGGGCTGCCTGCCTAGTTTGGGGTCACTTGAACGTTTTGTTTCCCTTCCTCAAGAGCTGTGACCTCTTCACTGCTGTGTTGGGAGCAAGCTGCTGCCACCTGGAAAACATCCTGTTTCACAGGAAATGATCCCCTCGCCTCGTGCTCAGCAGGGACGATTTCTGGAAGTAGTAACAGCAGAAAAGCTTTCTAGTAACAACAAAACATTGTAGCTTCCTGCGTTGCCTTCTGTATTTAAATGGGTTCAAGGAGTTAGGGTTGGCTGCTTGCTGTAGGTGTCTTTCCTCTGACCTTTTAAACCCCTTTTCATAGACTGATAGAGAATTTGAGGCCAGCAGAGACCATTGCGATCCCTGGTCTGACCTCCTTCAGCATGGGTTTAACCAAGGTGCCGATGGCTCAAGGTGGTAGAAGAGCTGCGTGCTGGGCTAGCACCAGCTGGAGCAACTCCTCCATGGCTGCATCTGCACTGACCATTTTCAGATCTTCTCCCATGGCTGGGCTGGCAATGGAGCTAGTGCTGGGGAGGAGCATTAGTATAGGCCAGGGGCAGGTGTTTGTGGCATTGGGTCTAGCCAATGCAATGGAAATACCTGCGCCTGATCTACACTCGCGCTCCCGCGGGTAGAGCTGCATGGGCGAGAGATCATTTCTGGAGAAATCCTGAAGGAAGAGGTCGTATAAGGAACTGGGTGTTTGGGAGGGGAAGGGCTTAGTAGTGTTGTCATGACTTGGACTAATGTTGGCTAATGAGCAAGGACACTGCACCCTTTCCCTCACTGGAATTTCTAATTGGAACATATTTAATTATATCTGTCATGCTGCTTTCTTCCCCACCTACTCCCTTTCCTCTTGCATCAGGTGTCTGTGACAGCCAAGTACCCTGCCATGCTCTTTGCTCCCAAGAGAGGGAGTCCTGCTAGTGTCACAATACCCGCCATCCTTCCAGGCAGCACTGGCACAGAAGTAGCATAGCACGGCTCCAATTAGAGGGTGGCTTCAGACTCCAGCAGCTCAGATCCAGATGTGATCAGTTAGTGACTGAACACCCGGGGCCAGCAGCCAGGCAGGTACAAAAGCAGCATTATATGGAGCCCCCAAGGGGAAAAGGAGCCATGGTTCAGGCTGGGTCCTGAGCAATTTGCTGCTTGTAACCACTCCTCACTTCCTCCTCCAAGGCAGGCTGACTAACTGTGGTCAGGGTTAGCTAATAAACCCTAGGCTCCAGCTGCCATTTTAAACAGGCCTCTGCTGTGCTGCAGTAAACAAGCTCCCTTTAGCTTGATGATTGCAATTGACATGGGAGGGGAATTCCTCTGGTATGCTGCCTTACAACTGTGGAGC